ATGTATGGAGCACGTCCGCGGAGCGTATGCTTCCGGTAGTATAAATACAAGTAGTCTGTGTCCGCGCTGTCCGTGTACGCATCCGGATTGCTCATGCGGAAAGTATAACACAGGCTTGAGCGGGGGATGAAGCTGGCTTTGCAGGCTGTTGAGTCGGCAGAGCCTTCTGGCGACCTGAAACATCCGGCAAGCTGGAGAGCTTGGGCAGAAAGTGGCACATAGTTTGTGATGACTTCTGAGCTGCCATGAAGCGTTCTGCAAATCCATCCAGCGAGAGCGACAGCCTCTTCAAAAGGAGGGAGCTTCTCATAGCCCTTTTCTTCAGCACCATCAATGGAGGTGAGGGCAGTGGAAGCAGAAGAGTGGATGCGGGCCGAGTAAGGAGCGTCCTACGACTTGGTAAGTTTGTTGTGAAATTTTTGGGAAGAATGGCGCAGGTCTCTGGTGGGGGGCTCACTGTCGGCACCCTGGCAAGAACCATTTATCCATACAGCTGCAGGCGGGCTCTTCTGGGGCCAACCACTCCAAGCCAAGCTCTTCAAAGGCCTTTGTGAGGATGCGAATGAGCTTGATGTCCACACTGGGCCGTACACCACTGGATTCTCTTGGCGGAAGGGAGTCAGTGTCCTCCACGGAGCACGACCAATCCTCCGCATCAGAGGCTGTCAATGACATGGAGCCATCAGCAGCCCGACTGCACAGCCCTCTGACTCTGCTGTTTCTTCCTCTGAGGCTCCTGGGAGGGGGGAAATGGGAGACAGCGAGGGGCAGGACCACCTTCATTTAAGAAAGCAATCCGTGAGCGAAGCGAGGTGAGACTCATGCTCTCGCAATGAGAGCAATCTGTCTCCATGAGCGCTGCCTCCCAGACAAACGACGCACTCACTGTGCTCATCCGAGGCATGCAGCCTCACTACTCATAGCAAGACATTTTGTAACAAACGTCGCAGAAATTTGCTCTAATAGGCGTGAAAATTTGCTCTTTGTGTTCGCCAGCGAGGAGATGATCTTTGCGCTAAAGGAGAAAGATTCTGATAAAATGGCACTCAGCGCTGACTTATATAGGCAGACGGACCCACCCTTTTTGGCGGGCTGAAATACCATTTGTTTGTCCAGCTACACGAACATCAACAAATCAGGCTTCAGTATTCAGAGTAAACGGAGTTTCCCCAAAGAATGTTCACGCAATGTGAGAGTCCATTTCCAAAAGGAACCACACTTCTTAGCAAATAATCATAATAATGAAAATTGCATGTAAAGTGGAGGGAAGATTGTGTCATGTAAACATCTTACTGCGATTTGGTCCTTATTCTGATTATTGAAAATGATCGCATTATTAGTGCACATGGAAACTTAGTCACTGTATAAATTTTCATAGTGTTAAACTGAGTAATAATATGATGATGTGGCCTTCAGGTAACTGTGCTGTGCTGGTGGCTGGTGGTGTTGCTGGTGTGGTCACATGGGCCTGCGCCACCCCCATGGATGTAGTGAAGGCTCGACTGCAGATGTGTGGCGGCGGCGGTCGCATGTACAGCGGTGTGTTGAACTGCATTACTGTGAGTGTGCGTGAGGAGGGCATGCGGGTCTTCTTCAAAGGCCTTCTTCTGAACACCGTGAGAGCATTCCCTGTAAACGCCGTGACCTTCCTCAGCTTTGAGATGCTGCTGAGAGCCATGACCGATTCCTCTCAGGACTGAGGGAGTGCTGCAGGGATGATGGATTTTTGTAGGCCAAAACCCAGAAAGAGTTTGCAAGTTTGCATTTTTATCCGTTCCACTGTTCTGAAGTCAGTGGGTTTTTTGATTGGGGTTTTGGTTAAATGCCTGAAATACGGTCTGTGATATTTTCATGTTTTATTCTGTAATGTAGAACACATCAGTAAAACACCCTGTGATTTGTTTAAAAGCTTTTACTTGTCTTGAAAAAGGCAGTTTACTAACATGGGACTACAGAGGTTGTCAGGACATTAAACATCACACCAAACATATAAACTCATCTACTAATTGGTAAATTTCACAGCCTCGTTGTGTTTATAATCACACACTTGCAAACTATTCAAGAACTCAAACTTTTAAGAAAAATGTGTTTTAAATAAAGACGTAACGAGTTGTCAGAAGCTTAGTGATGCTGATGTCACAGTCATGCGACTGTGGTGTAGTTTATAGCCTATGCTTTTATACTTAGGCTTCAAAAGTTCATTTTTGACAGCCATCAACTTTTGTTGGTCACAGAGCTTATTCTCTGCAGTTATCTAAAAGCCAATGGAAAAATCTTATTGGGTTTTTTGTCGAGGGAATCAGGGTGATTCATTCTATTAGTACCTATACATAAGCTGTTGTCATCATATTAGTGGCGCTGATTTTGATTTACCCCAGTGACTTGAATAGTTTGATTCTGTTCATCAAAACGTTTTGTTCAGAGATTCGTTCAGTGACTATTTCTGTAGGTTACAACATTACACTAAAAGTTAGTGACCAGTCAGTATCGTCTTATTATTATTATTAGTTACATTTATATAGCACTTTTACTATTGCTCAGTGAAATTTTGCAGAATCCTGTTATTTCAATAGGAATCCACACGATCTTGAGTTTTATTGAGGACGAAAGGTTCTACACACAGATTTTTCTCATTCAAGTTGGTAATGCAAATTCGTCAGGTTAACCAACAGAAAGATGGTTGGTTTGAAAATGACTTCATTTTTCTGAGTTGTGCTTCATGCATCGCTACATTATTGACAATGGGCCTTATTTTGCATGCAAAATTTTGCTGATGTCAACTCAATGAGTGGATATAGGGATGGTAAGGATGTCATTAAACAGAGGCCAAAAGGCAAATTTGAAACAACAGATTTGTTGTTATGTATATGGTTAGTGTATGTTATATGCTGGTTAGCATATTTATGGTCATATTTGTTCAGTATGTTCATCCACAAACAAATGATTTGTTCACCAACAAAATACATTTTTCATACATTTTTGTCATATCCTTTATGTTAGTGGCAAACAATATGAGTTTTTCAACAACCAATGCTGATATCTAATGTAGTAATAATAATGTCAATAGGCATTAGATCAAAGTTGGTAGATTTCTGAAATGGACAAATGGAGTTAAGGTGATATTATAGCTCATAAAGGCCAAATATCGTCTGATTATCAGCCTGGTCAATGTGTTAGCTGGTAGCCACTTTTTATTCTGATATGTTGTATTTATTTTTTTGTCTCATCTGCTCACCAAAATTGCATTTATTTCATGACATACACCGGTATTGCGGTATTTTAAAAATTCATATCATAACAAAAATAAACACCGGTATTCGGTATGAACCGGTATACCGCCCAGCACTATCATCAATACAGCAAAAAATTATATATTGTGAAATATCATTACTGTTTAAAATAACTGTTTTATATCTGAATGAATTTTAAAATATAATTTATTCCTGTGATCAAAGCTGAATTTTCAGCATCATTACTCCAGTCTTCAGTGTCACATGATCCTTCAGAAATCATTCTAATATTTGCAGCTCAAGAAACATTTCTGATTATTGTTAATGTTTGCCACTTAGTATTTTTGTGGAAATCATGATACAGTACCATTCATAAGTTTGGGGTAAGAAAATAATACTTCTATTCAGCAAGGGTGCATTAAAATGATTAAAAGTAACAGGAAAGACACATGGCGTAACTATCTGCAGTACCAGCCTGGTTATTGTTACTAAGTTACTAAAGGAGCTGATTTCAGCCATGTGAAGGTAACACTTAATGTGTCTTTTTATTTTTTATTAGCATTACTATTATAGTTTTAGGTTTTATGTTAAAACACTATCCCAGCTTAATGTGCACCCAACTAAGTAAACCTTTTATAGATACAGAAAGTATAATCCTTGTGGCTCTATCAAAAACACTGCTCTGTTTGAGTGACCCACTTGATAAACAATTATTATATCTCCAATGCCATTTGGTGCAGCAGAAATTACTTACATCAACTTTAACACAACCTATTTTTAAAATACATTTAGAAGCAGCTTTAAGTAAATATGTATGTATATATATATATATATATATATACACACACACCATATTTTTATGGGAAGATATTGCCTTGTTAACACTAGCTTTTAAAATCTGGAATTCTGTAAAAATGCTGTTGTTGAACAGTTATTATCCTTTGAATATATGAGGTGTTTTCCTGATGTTTGCACATACAAGAAGAATGTCATCAACTGAAATAAAACACTCACCAAACATCAGTTGAGCCACTTTATTTTCATCCCGTCTTTGCTTCCTAAGCCAGAGACGTTTATTACAACAACAATTTTCGACTTTGCAATCCTATTTTGTGTCCTTCATTTTCTTACAGTTTTTCATAAATCCACACCCGCCTGAATCCTTCAAAATCAACCTACAAGCCTGCTCAGCGTTGGACAAAAGAGTTTTGAGGTTGCTCTTTTCCTTTTTTTATTTTAGTTGTTTGCTTGTTTTAGGGTTTTCGTGCTGCTCAAATCCATCAGTCTCTTTCAAATAAGCCTCAAAGTCACTTACAGAGGCCTTACAATATTACAAAGAAAACCGTACTACTAAATACATCATTGATGGCTTCTGTGCTCCAGTAAACAAAGGTATAACACATATCTATTAATACATTTTCAAACATTACCAACTAAAAAGTTGGTAATTTATTTTTCATTGGTCATTTAGATTTTGGATATTACTCCTTATAGTCAAAGTAATAGGGTCTCACAAAAACAAACAAAAAAAAAAAACACTTCCTATCCAAATGGGAATTTGGTTGTAAATTCTGCCAAAAACAATGGTCCTAAAGTATATTTATTAATATGTAATGAAATATTACTTATTTCTTTAGATTTGATTCATAATTTTATACAAACTATTATTTTCCCATATGTACCAATTTAAAACTTGCCCAGTGAAAAATGAAAGAAAAAAAAAAAGAAACAAAACAAAATCTCAGTGCAATCAGTTTTGCATTTCTGGATGTTAAAATTTATTTTTAATGCCAAAACACTTCATGACCTGAGAAAAAAAAAAAATCTAATTTGTACAATCTATAAATTAACATCCTGTATGTTATTTCTTTGTTTTAACTTTCAACCAATTATTAAATTGCTAATTTAAATGACAAATGCCTGTCTAAATGAGACGTTGCAGCCTGTCATGTGAAATCACACAAAAGAGTTTAAGTCAGTATGTCATCAAACACCTCTCTTAATATCCTGGTCCTGTTGAAACTGATGGCTTCCCAAAATCTCATTCATATTTGTCTCAACACATACACATATCATCTTAAAAAACATTAGATTTTTCTGTGCATGTTCCCATTCTCTGTTTGGTCTCTCATTTTGTAACGTTTGTGTGTGGTCATGTGACATTAAGTGCCATACTTTTCTCTGTTTGCATGTCGTCCTTGTGTTACCGCAAGATTACGGTCCAGTCTGCCGCTGCGTTGACCCCTGGCTTACGTAGAGTCAAAACTGCAAGTGTAGAGTCAAACTCAAACTCTAAAGCCGACTCTGTACCATCTGAAAAAAAAAAAAAAAAGACAAAAAATTAACTCAGTATGTTGTGCAAAATCAGTGGTTCTCAAGGGTCTTACTTCAGGACCCAAATTTACTTCGGACAACAATGGCGACCCAACACAGTACCAAAAATGTTTACTGTAAAAAAGTGGGAAAAAAACAAAAAAAAACAAATGGAAATGTATTTTTATTACCACGAGCTGCATAAACCCAACAACAACATATGTCCATTTAAGTACAATTGTATAAATGTTTGGTTTCTAAATGCTGTCAGGTGCCAATAAATAACTGCACTAAATGCATTGTTGACAGCACAAACTATTATCGTTGCTGTACACGAACCCATATTTAAAGGGACAGTTCACCTAAAAATGACAATTCTGTCATCATTTACTCACCCTCAAGGATGGAAAAACAAATACTACGGAAGTCAATGGCTACCATTCGGTCACCAACATTTTTTAAAATATCTTTTGTGTTCAGCAGAAGAAAGAAATTCATACGGGTTTGGAACAACTTAAGGGTGACTAAATGATGACAGAATGTTCATTTTTGGGTGAACTAGCCCTGCGTCATATTTTTGCGACATCTTTTGTTCAAGTGTGCTGTAGTAAAGTTTTATCAAATGCATTTAAATACATTGGTTGATGATATCGCTATCTCATATTTTTTTGGTCACATAGGCATTGGACATTAAAAATATATGGACAGCATTTTTAAACATGCCTGTTATTTGAATAGTTGTTAGATGCATGATAGAAGCCTGTGAGAACGCCAAAGCAGATTGCGTGACATTAGCAGATGCTTTGACCCATAGACACTTCAGGAAAAAACCAGCAATTTATCATAAGAAAGCCAACCATATTAGCAGTAAAGCACTGTAATATATCAGTGACACTGACCTGCATTTTTCAGAGTAGCAGAGGACGGTTGACTGCCTCCAATGATCACAATCTTCTCTATCCAAGACGCAGTGGAAAACTGGGAGTCTGGGGCCAGATTTCTGAGGAAAGAAAAATTAAGAACAGAGAGATGAGAGACCAAAAGATAAGAAACAGCATGGCAATGCCGTTTTTAACAGCTGTAAAGAAAAAGAGAGCAGACAGACCTGGAAGACAGCGTGTTGGCGGAGAAAGACAGATGTCTGTGGACAAACTGCTTTGCTTTTTCAAAGTTGAAGGTATGGAAGTCATCGATGTACAGCTCTCCTTCAGCAGAGCCCTGAAGCACAAGACAGCAGTCAGCGTGAAGCACTTACTATACACAGATGAAAACAATCCATCTACAATGTCAAATATGAATACATGCATATATGTAGACACATGCATTTTCTGTAAAGCTGCTTTGAAACAATGTGTACTGTGAAAAGTGCTATACAAATAAATCTGAATTGAATTGAATATATACATAACAGGATACGGATTTACCTGAGAATTGAGAGCAGCATAGAGAGTGTATGGGTCATTCTCCATACAGGACGAAGATCTCCTAACTCGGTCTTTCCTGCAGATAATGGACCCTCCTCGCTGGAAAACTGGGATCTGGAACACGAGACGCGACGGACAGAAAGGAAGGATTTAGCTGTCTGATAAAAGACTAAAACTAAATATAGCTGAAATAAGTGCATAGGAAAACTTTGGAATGCAAAAACAAAAACACAGTCTGTTCTGGCCCCTAGTTTTGCAGTCAGTCTTTAAAAACCAATGGAAAAGTCAAAAAGTGAAAACGTCCGGGCTTACGGAGCTCATGGTGACAGGAATGTAGAGGCTCTGCTCCCCATCATGCTTCTGGAAAGTGTGAACATCATACCAGACCTACAAGAGCAACCCAGAGGAAGAGATTGAGACTTTAGAGATAGTGGTCGACCGATATAATACATGTAATTACAGTAAATGAGAGACATGCAGAAAATTGGTGAAACTAAATGAACATTTATTATGCATAGATATGTATTAAAACATAAATTAAAAAATTTAAACAATTGAGGTAACAATTAGTGCAGCCTTTTCTTTTGCTCAAACATTTACAAAAAAAAAAAAATTATAAAATGTAAACAACAGAGGTAACACTTAAAGGGGTCATATGATGTTGCTAAAAATAACATTATTTTGTGTATTTGGTGTAATGAAATGTGTTTATGTGGTTTAAGATAAAAAAAAAACACATTATTTTCCACATACTGTACATTAGAGGTCTACAGATCCGTACGGGTTCGGGGCTATATTTTAAATGGTCAGCCGGGTCCGGGTCGGGTCCCAATCTATTACTTCGGGTCCCGGGTCTGTTTAACATGGTGTGTAATACCCGAGTTGATCGGACTCGGAAAACACCCGGTCGTTATCAGAGTCAGTCAGCGCTGTGCATGTGTTGTTAAAGTTTAATTTTCGCAACTTGTTTATTGACTTGTCAATAGCAATTTGCTGTGGAATATGTGCCGATCGGGTCCAGTCGGGTCTGTTTCTTCCCGGCCGGGTTCGGGTCCATCTTTCAAATAATTGACGGTCCGCTTCAGTTCCGGGTAGTACATTTTTGACATTTCTCGGTTCTGCGAGAATCTATTACAACTTTAAAATTGTAACTGGTTTCCTAACAAACATGTTCTGTTCTCTTCTAAATTTGTTAATTAACAAATCTCACAGTACGTTTGAATAAGACTTTGCTGCACGCCGGAGTGTAATTGTATGTAACACAACGATTGGTCATTTTACTGTCTGTCAGGTGCTGGCTTCACATCCGAGTGGCTTGTCTTAATGAGCAAGCATAAATGCACGATATGGTGTCATAATCCGTTTTGAAAAACATCGGCCAAACTCGGAAAGTCTTTTCAGCCGATGCCGATATTTAAAAAATTCCAAATATCGGCCGAGGCGATATATCGGTCGACCACTATTTAGAGAGACTTTCAATGGAACAACCTGAATGGGTTTTCATCTCCGTGTTGAAAAATACGTTACCTCTCCTTTCCCCGGCAGATAGGCAGTAACAGCAGTAGCACCCTCATCAGTGACGGGATGCACCAGCAAATCCTTCCCTGTGAAGAGAAATAAACCTGTGTTAGCCAAATAAATATTTATTTGGACTAATTATAAATCATGTTTAAAAACTCACCGATCAAGTACTCATCCTCGATTGAGAAAGTGGCGACATCATCAGGATACTCTACCCACAAAGGTCTGTGAAATGATTATTAGCAAAATGGATCTCTTACTTACATGGCATCTGACCTTTGTTGTTTATGATAAGCTAAATCACAAGAGTGCAGAATCGATCTGTTGAGCGCATGCACTGAACAAAACTCCAGTGTTTTCAGAGCGAACTAACTTAACAGAATCTTGTGTGATTGATTATAATGCTCAGTGATGCAGAAAAGGAAATCTGATGCAACATGAGCAGCTCTGAATGTAATGCTGCAATCAACACTTCATTGATGTTCACATTTCACTTTAATCACGAAAGCCATAATACGTTTGGTTTAATTTCTTAAACCTTTTTTCCCCCCTTACACTGAATTTGGGAGGCATTATTGTTCATTTCGGTGGCACGTTTGCCCCAAGCACCAGTTAATTCCCGGCCCTGATTGTCTTGGGCTGGCTCACCTCATAACAGGATATCCAGTGCGGTGTGCGTTGTAGAAAAGCTGGTACCAGTACGGCAGGAGAGCGTATCGCTGGCGTATGGCCTCCCGGATGAGGGCGGTGTTCTCGGGTCCGAACAGCCAGGGTTCCCTGCGGGGCGTGTCTATGTGAGCATGAGCACGGAAAAACGGCTGGTAAGCTCCCGCCTGGTACCATCGCACCAAAAGCTCAGCGCTGGGATGTTTAAAGAAACCGCCAACATCAGCTGAGGGAGAGGAAGACAAAGGTACAGCACGAGAGACTAAATGAAAAGCAATCATAAAGCAGCACTTAAAGGATGCCAGCAGACAACTGGGAGTAATATACACTACTGGTCAAAAGTTTGGAAAGTTGGGAGTCTTTTATGCTCATCAAGGCTGCATTTATTTGATCAAAAATACAGTACAAGCAGTAACATTGTGCAATATTATTACAATTCAAAACTTGTCTATTAAGTATTTTAAAATGCAATATTACACTTTTCAGTTATTCTCATTTACGGACTAAAAATGTTGACTGGCCCATAACAATAAGTTTTTGTGTAGAGTTTGTGATACTACATTTGCATTTAGTCATTTAGCAGACGCTTTTATCCAAAGCGACTTACAAATGAGGACAATAGAAGCAATCAAAACCAACAAAAGAGCAACAATATATAAGTGCAAATGACTCGGTTAGCCTAAAGCGGTACACGTAGCAAGGTATTTTATATATATATATATATATATATATACACAATATATATATATATATACACAAAAAGAAAAACAAGCAGATAGAATAGAAAAAATAGAAAGCTAGTGTTTTTTTTATATAAAAAAAGAAGATAAATAGATAAAGTAGAATTAAAATAGAATAGAAAGTGCTAGAGTTAGAGGGTCAAATAAAGGTGGAACAGATGTGTTTTTAGTCTTTTCTTGAAGATGGCTAAGGACTCAGCTGCTCGATATTAAATATCAACTACTGATATCTGTATAGAATGACATACAGTCTCAACATTATCATCAAAAGCTCCTACAATAACCATAATTTGGCTTTAGCTCATTTATGCCATTTATGACTGGACAAAAATGTTATAAAATATTTATATTTATAAAAAATATTATATTACATCACCGTTTTGTGCTGAGTATAAGCATCCTTTCTGTATATTCAATTATTATGCACTAAAATGCAACCGTTGGACATGCAATTGCCACTGCAAAAAAAAAAACACACAAAAATGCCACAAATAACATCTTAAAATGTCCTCGTGGGAGTGATTTAAGATATCAGATTCAGTAAAGATTCATAGAGATTCATGAAATAAATAAATACTTTTTATTGTTTTCTAATTCCATACATATGTATTTGCATTTGTACTGCATAACAGTTTGAGTGAAAAAAAAAAAATCATAAAATGAAAAATAAATCTCATAGTGAGTGAAACAATTTTTTTTTTTGCCGTTAATTAATGTGTGACTTTAACAAGCTCTCTTTTGGTGGCCGTTGTTTAAATGTGTGCAGTCTTGTTTACCCATTGAACATCATTTCTCATCTGCATATACTAAAGGTTTACTAGAGGAACTGCTCACCTCCACAGAAAGAGATGCCCGCTAAGCCCAGGCTCAAGCACATGGGGATGGAGATCTTCAGATGACCCCATTCAGCGGCGTTATCTCCCGTCCACACCGCACCTGAGCCACGGAGAGAGGAATTGATCACCAAACGCTCCGGTACAAACACACCAGGCTTGTGTGTGACGTCTCACCGTAACGCTGGGATCCAGCAAAGAACGCCCGGGTCAGAACGAAAGGTCTCTCCACACCTCCTGAACGCTCAACCAGGCCGTCAGCGGTCGCCTTTTGCTGGTGACACAAAAGTATTGTTATGAAAGAAAAAAAGAACTTTGGCCTTCTCAGTGTCACACATGCCTCTCACTATTAAGTCTTTTAACACTGAGCGTGTCTCCATTTTAACGTTTTATCCATGTGACTCCTTAGGAGACCGATTTTTAACTGAAAATGTGAACTCTGAAGGATAAAGGCTTATCAGGTCAGATTAACTAGTCACACTGATAGCGGGGCAAGTTGTCTTGTGAAAAAAAAAAAAAAAATCACTGACGTTAGGAAATATCCAACCTCAGTGAGTTTGTGAAGCCTAGCTGTGAACAAAAGAATAAAAAAAAAACATTCTCATGCCTATTTCATACTTTTCATATTCTTAGCAAATCAAACCTTAATCTGCCTGTTTTTCTGGGTGGGTGAATCTTTAATATTTTTTGAGAATATGATGAAAATCACCATTGAAAATTTTTTATTAAAAATAAAAATGTCCAGACACATTATACTAGTGAGAATTGTACTAATATTAAAAATACTTAAAATTGGCTAAATTAAGCATACATTTATAATAATAATTTCATGATTTTCATAATTATCATCTAAAACGATTATAAATAAATGCTTAATTTTGCTAATATTAAATATTTTTATTTCTTCTAATTTTGGGGTTAAAATATGGCCTGGACATGTCCGCATATGAGAGATTGACCAGAGCAATAATGTTGCAAATGTTTTTTGGAAACAAGTAGAGATGTAACGATTCACGATGCGATACGATTCATGACACTGATTTCACGATATGATTTTCAAAATGAGATTTAAGACAAATTATCAATGAAAAGGTGCCCTTTTATTATTTCTCAGACAAAACGCTGCACATTTCTTTGTGATATTGAAATATGTCAAAAAACACAAAACTAAATTGAAATTTTAAAACAAATCCCAAATCAAATAAATAAGTAACACAAATAAAAATTATCTCTTCAAATAAACAAACTGAGGCTGTGGTCTTTCCATTTACAATTATAGGGCTGTTAAAAAAAAAATTCTAATTTCGAATATTCGTCGAATTTAAAATAAAAATCCACATTTTAGGTGTGCGTTAAGGAGGCAGCCTTATCAGTGGCGCACGAGATGCAATGGCGATGTAAGTGTCATTGCATTTTAATGTTTTTGTTAGCCTATCCAGTTGAAGCCACTAGATTGTAGCGTTGTTAACACTAGCGTTGTTAATCACAGATATTGTGGGAAAGAGAACGTCAATGGGGAGGAGATGTTGTTTACGTCAAAACTGAAACCAAGCCGTTCACACAGAACGCATTTTCTAGAGGGACATCTATCACTGTTGCACTCGCGTCTCGCACAAAAGAAGCCGCATGTTTAGAAAGCCATGTAAAATTAATGCAAGTTCAACTTTGGAAAAAACATATCTCGAGACTTTATGGCGGGTTTTTTCCCCCCATCCCACTGCAACTCGTGTTTTTAAATGAAAAATGTACTCTGTGTGATTGGCTTTCCGCCCTTTGAAGCAAAAACAGAATGGTCTGATTTTAGCTTTATGAAACTATACTACATAAAACACATCTGAACGAAACAGAATCAGCGGAAGCTCTGAATGAGACGCAGATTCACTCTCTGACAGCAGGTGGCGCTCATGGAACAGCATTTCTTTATTGATCGCTCTAAACAAAGCAGTGCTGCGCTAATAAACACTACTGTAATATGCATTATACAGAGATGAGATGAAAAGAAAACACCATCTAAACTGTTCTGAAGATAGTCAGTTCCCCTCAGAGATACAGACATATAAACCCCAACACCAACTGTATCACGATTCGTTTAACATCTCAACCGACTTCAATCCTCACATATTTGCATCGATTTTCAACTGGCTCGGGGTGCGTCGTTACATCCCTAGAATCAAGAACTTATGTGGCTACAGAAAAACTGAATAAATAAATAAAAACTGATCTCTCACCACATAGAGGCCATAAAGGTTGTGAACGTCTCTGTGCTCCCAGCCTCCATGAAGAGCATCTTTGTGCATGGTGACCTCAGGCCCATTAAACACAGACGGCTCGTTCATGTCATTCCACACGTACTGATTCTCCATGGAACCCTGGACAAAGCCACGTGGGATTTAATAAAAATACAATCCTGAAATCATCAACATCAACACTTTAATTCTGAAAGACAGTCTAATAAAAAGCCAGGGGTAGCAGCTGTTCAGAAAGCCCTCACCTCATACTGCTCATAGGCAAACTTGCTGGCCCACCAGGCTCTCATCTCAGGGTTAGTGAAGTCAGGATAGCCCGAATTCCCTTCAGAAGAGAAAATAATGTTCTGAAGAGTTCATCACACTGACTTTAACAGGCAGCTGGATGAGTAGCTACACACCTGGCCAACACCAGCCTTCATAGTCTCCTCCATCTTTGTTCTTGACATAAAAGTTTTTGGAGAGAATCTCATTGTGAATCTTATAGCCGCTGTCCACCCTAATGTGAGGATCTACAATGGCCACTAGCTGAAGAGACAAAAACACATCACTCGATTTTTATTAAAGACTTTAGCAGTAGTTGAAATGATTTCAATTTTGGACTGGGTGATACTTATTAGATATTTGAGTATATCATATATCAGTTTGCTAGCGATATAAAATTATAAGCTACGTTTTATTGAACATCTGGATGATTTGTATACACTTTTTCTTTGGAAAACGTAATGGTCAAGTAAAGCGTTATTGATTACTTGCATTATTTTTCCTTGCAACTTGTGAGTATAACAGCTTAAGGCTGGAATGAAACAGAAGTTGCAACAGACTTTGAGACACATTATGAAGCCAGTTATCAAATAAGAAAAAGAGACTTGATTTCATCCATTGATTGCTGATTGGATTTAAGATATAATTTCAGTCCCACAAACACTCACCTTGCGTCTCTTGTCCATCAGGCCCTGCAGCATTTCTTTAGGTTGGGGGAACTTGCTGGGGTCCCAGGTGAAGTAGCGTTTTCCATCTGCATGTTCAATGTCCAGCCAAATGAAGTCATACGGGATGTCATGCTCATCAAAGCCCTGATCGACAGACTTTACGTCCTCCTGATCATTATAGTTCCAGCGGCATTGATGGTATGCCAGCGCCGTGAGAGGAGGAAATGACTGAGTGCCTACGGTGAGAGGGTTATGTTATGTCACAGGGTGTTCATCCTTTGTTGGGATGGGGGCATAAATTAAGAGTATACCCACTTCTCAAGGAACCACTACACCACTGACACTATGCAATTATTAGACATGTTTATGTATCTCTTCCAGGTAAAAATGGACCCAAATGCATGAACAGCAAAACAAGTATTCTGGGATTTGTATTTTTGTCTTCTAACTGAATATGAAAAAGCATGAATGAGATTTGAAATCTAAAGACAGAGGGCAATATTATGCCAAAAATTTCTTCAAAATTGCACATGTGACCCTGGACCGCAAAAGCAGTCTTAAGTGTACATTTTTCAAAATTGAGATTTATACATCATCTGAAAGCTGAATAAAAAAATTCCATTGATGTATGGTTTGTTAGGATAGGACAATATTTGGCCGAGATGCAACAATTTGAAAATCTGGAATCTGAGGGATTCAAAAAAATCTAAATATTGAGAAAATCACCTTTAAAGTTGTCCAAATGAAGTTCTTAGCAATGCATATTACTTTTGATATATTTACGGTAGGAAATTTACAAAATATCTTCATGGAACATGATGTTTACTTAATATCCTAATGATTTTTGTCATAAAAGAAAAATCTATGATTTTGACCCATACAATGTATTTTTGGCTATTGCTACAAATATACCCCAGCGACTTAAGACTGCTTTTGTGCTGCAGGGTCACATATATTTTTGAAAAATATGAGGGTGAGTAACTGATGACTGAGTGAACTACACTTAAGTTTACAGAAATGTGTTTCCCAAGTTTAGCATTAACACCATATGCAGAGAAGTGTGCGGTGGCACTTCCTTTCCCTGTGTGTTTGTGTACCTGTAAGTGAGGCATACTGAGTGAAGACATCTGCAGGTTTTGGTCCCAGCATGATAAAGACATCAATAATACCACTCTCAGATATCCAGCGTACATCCGTCTGAGGAGCTTCACTAGAAACTTGTACGAAGTCCAGTATTTTCCCAAACATCATCTGAAATACGAACACACATTTAAGGGAATTCTTCTAAAGCATTTGAAGAAATGCACTGATACCAAAACTGATTCCATTGATCAAACTAATGTTAACATCGGACAATACTGCAATGCTCCCCAGTATATTGTGCTTCCCTAATTTGAACCTTGTCAACCAAAATCATTCGACATCGTACCAAAAACAATTAAAGGGCAGGTTGCTCACTCTCACCTTTCCTGCAGTATTTGAGCTGATGTCCACCCATGTCTCTGCTGCATTGAGCCAGAAGATGCCCATGGTGCGGTCAGTGCTGTGAGATATGAGGACAGGAACTGCCCCATAAAGAGCCATTGGGTTGTGTAGCTCATACTGAAAAACATCCAAGTTGTACAGCCGATACGGGTCTGATCCACTAAGAAAAACAACACAATAATTGTTCAGTGGAACACTACGGTTTATGCGAGTTTGTGCCAGCATGAGAGTGCTAAAAAACTAAGAAGTGATAAGCTGTTGTCACATATTTTTTCATAAAAATGGTTCTTCTTTTAACTATTTTCAATGTTCAGTTTAGATTTGGCTGGTGGACAGCAAGACTAGCAGCAAAACCAGCAATAATCACCCTGGACCAGCATCAAAATTCGGTCTAGATTTGAATTCACATCTGCATTTGAAAAGTCCTCCTTTGATGATTAAAGGAACAGTTCACTCAAAAATGAAAACTTGCTGAAATCTAAAAGATGTAGATGAGTTTGTTTCTTCATCAGGTTTGTAGAAATGTAGCATTGCATCAGTGTCTCAGCAATGGATGCTCTGCAGTGAATGGGTGCCGTCAGAATGAGCGCCCAAACAGCTGATAAAAACATCACAATAATCCACAAGTAATCCACACCACTCCAGTCCATCAGTTAAAGACAAAAGCTGTGTGTTTGTAAGAAACAAATCCACCATTAAGATGTTTTTAACTTCAAACTGTTACTTCCAGCTAAAATATGAGTCCTCTAGCCATAATAACGCTTCCAGTGAAAAAGGTCATGACATTTTAATTAGAAGAGAAATTTGCACAGATCAAGCACCGTTTACAAGCCAAAACAGTCCAAAACAGCTCTAAACAAATATGTGGGTGGATTTTGATGTGAGACAACAAGAGATGAACTTTTTCACTGGAGGAAGAGTTATTATGGATTATGGACTCAACGGTTTTACACGTCTTAATGATGGATTTGTTTCTTACAAACACGCAGCTTTTAGTTTCTCAAGACATTAACTGATGGACTGGAGTGGTGTGGATTATTGTGATGTTTTTATCCGCTGTTTGGACTCTCATTCTGACGGCACCCATTCACTGCAGAGCATCCATTGCTGAGACACTGATGCAATGCTGCATTTCTCCAAACCTGATGAAGAAAACTCGTCTTAGATGGCCTGGCAGCGAGTACATTTTCAGCTTTGGCTGAACGATTCCTTTAAGTTGCTCACGTGTCCCACATCAGTCTCACGCGGGTGTAAGAACTCACTCGGTGTTTTTCAGTTTGAGTGTGTCTGCGTGTTCCGGAATGCCATAGACGTGTTCCACACCTGGGAGAGAAAAATCTAAACTAATAGACGATGGACCTGAGTTGAAATGGAGATTTAAAAAGATTGAACAAACAAACAATAAATCTTGACTGTAATTATCTCACCAATATTCTTCTGAATATGTTATAGAGTAAAATGAGAAAGAGTTCCAATATACCATTGGGCTTTGAATCAGTATGAGATTTAAATGTTTCCTCCCACATGCCCGGTTTATCCTCTTCTTCTTTTATCTGTCCATCCTAAATAAAAAAGAAACAAAGAAAAGAAAAGAAAGAAAGAAAAAAGGCAAACATTACACTATCTAGGTCTAATAAATCTGCATGTTAAACAAATTACAACAGGATAAGAGAAGTCTAGTTGCTGAAAACACATTTGTGACCCTGGACCACAAAACCAGTCTTAAAGGGATAGTTCATCCAAAAATGAAAGTTTGATGTTTATCTGCTTACCCCCAGGTCATCCAAGATGTAGGTGACTTTGTTTCTTCAGTAGAACACAAATGATGATTTTTAACTTTAACCGTTGCAGTCTATTGAGAAAATCATCTTTAAAGTTGTCCAAATTAAGTTCTTAGCAATGCATATTACTAATCAAAAATGAAGTTTTGATATATTTATGGTAGGAAATTTACAAAATATCTTCATGCAACATGATCTTTACTTAATATCCTAATGATTTTTAGCATAAAAGAAAAATTTATAAGTTTGACCCATACAATGTATTTTTGGCTATTGCTACAAATATACCCCAGCGACTTAAGACTGCTTTTGTGCTCCAGCGTCACATTTACACACACCTCATCCGTTCGCTGCTCCACATTCTCCTGTTCTGTCACTTGCTCCAACTCACTTTTACTGCAAAGCATACAAAGTTTCTCTAAATACAAATACATACCGGCAATAAACATGTTAAGGAGGATGAATTAGAGATGCAACAATGACTCATTGATAATCAGACCAAAACAATACCGGTACCTCATAACATTTTGCAATTAAGCACAAATACATGGTGATTACACAACAAAACAAACATTTGTTGATTTTTGTTTTACAAAAATGTGTGTTAAACAGAGCATGTGTCATACCGCTAAAAACTACTCTTCAAATAATATTCTGGGTGAATGCAATTGTGTGGTTGCAAACACTTTTTAACAATGTTTGCATTAAACTATTTGAGCAATGGTGGGTGGAGTTAAGAAGGCTGGCTATTTGCACAGTGTAAACGGAGAAATTAAATACTAGGTATTGGGTGTAGAAACAGTATAATGCACCTCTTGGGTGAATGCATCTCATTAAAAAAAAAAAAGAAAAAGAAAATAGATTACTCATCTCATGACAAAACATTATTTTCATCCATTAATACAAAGAGGATAAATGATTTTGAGATGCACATAGTTGTGTTTCAAAGACACATTTTGGACCTCTGTTCTACTGCAAATATACATAATTGTAACTTTCTGTTTGTTCACTGAGTGCTCTCAAAAATTTGGCAAACTACAGGTAAAATACTAAAGCTGTGATATTTGTTACAACGAGTTTGTTGTACAGTCCGACTCAAATAATGGCTTACATACGTTTCAAGATTAAGGTTGTCGAGATACATTTTGGGGAAATTTCAAATAACTGTTGTTATTTAACAATTAGTTGTTGTTTGTGTTTTGTTTACCCAAATACAGTTCCATGGCCAGTATGTGTTTATTGTAAATGTTTATGATCCACCAACAACTGGCAGGTGTGACAAAAGTACATTTTGAACACAGCAGTTTATGACTATAGATGAAAATACTACAAAACTAATGGCTGTAAAATCAAATGGAAACAATGATCACTGGTACACTAAAGATTTTAGGTACTACAATTATTATTTCAATCTAGAACATATATAATTTAGTACTAAATCAAAAGCAAATGGTATACTACTGGATAAAGGGTGCATGCATAATTTGTGGTACTGCAGATATTTAGACTACTATTGATTAAAACAAACAAGTTAACAAATCTGAATTAAACACTGAGTTTAAAGGAATTGTTCAGCCAAAAATGAACATTTCCTGATTATTTACTCAACCCCAGGGCCATCCGAGATGTGTAGGCCTTTCTTTATTCATCGGAAGAGGAATTAAGGTTTAGGAGGAAAACATTCCAGGATCTAATGCAAGTCAATGGTGTTCACCATAAACCATTTCCAGAAAAAACTGTCGAAATGTCCAAAACTCTTTTAGCAATGAACTGACACAAATACTTTGACACATAAACAACCATTCATTCCGCCGGTACGTCACATGAGATGTTGTGAATTAAACCGAACTGGACTAAAGCAAGCATTTGTAGTTAAACATACACACTACCAGTCAAAGGTTTTTGAACAGTAAGATTTTTAATGCTTTTTTTAAAAGAATTCTCTTCTGCTCACCAAGCCTGCATCGATTTGATCCAAAATACAGCAAACGCAGTAATATTGTGAAATATTTTTCCTATTTAAAATACTTGTTTCTATTTGAATAAATTTTAAAATGTAATTTATTCCTGTGATCAAAGCTGTATTTTCAGCATCATTACTCCAGTCTTCAGTGTCACATGATCTTCAGAAATCATTCTAATATGCTGATTTGCTGCTCAAGAAACATATATTATTATTATTATTATTATGGTGAAAACAGCTGAGTAGAATTTTTTCAGGTTTCTTTGATGAATATAAAGTTCAGAAGAACAGCATTTATCTGAAATAGAAATCTTTTGTAACATTACAAATGTCTTTATCATAACTTTTGATCAACTTAAAGCATCCTTGCTAAATAAAAGTATTCATTTCTATATTACACTGACTCCGAACTTTTGAATGGTATAGTTCGTTACAATGTTACAAAAGCTTTTTATTTCAGATAAATGCTGATCTTTGGATCTTTCTATTCATCAAAGAATCCAGAAAAAAAGTACTCCACTGTTTTAAATATTAATAATAATAAATGTTTCTTGAGCAGCAAATCAGCATATTAGAATGATTTCTGAAGATCATGTGACACTGAAGAC